GTCACATTACATATTTAGGACATGGCGTATAGGCATTTTACTGTGAGTAAAAAGCTTAAACATACATTATGCCTATTGTAGGTCTTTCTTTAGGCCTGAAATGTTATCTAAATTATTCATTAGACATTAATTAACTCATCCAGACCATAATCAACTCTCTGAATTATCGCTAGCCTGCGATGTTTATTGGATTAGGTTCCGATTTGCTGCTCGACTTCCATTTATAATTTAATCATGAAATGGATAATCGAGACTATGTTTTTTATCATACATAATTTAGTAATGATGATCGAGGATAGGCCGAAGATTCAATCGCTTAAATCTCGGTTCAGAGTAGACCAATTTGACTGAAATTGTCAGCAAATTCCCTTTACATTATCTAGTTTTTAACTATTATAGTGATGACTGCCAGCTCTTTATCTAATCTCCTATAATGTATCTTTAAGCTTTTGTGCGCGCGTATTTTAAAAATAGCCAAAGACTGAGTTCTGCGGTTATCCACCCCACCTCTTTAAACTTGATGACTTGTTATCGGTTAACAAAAACCCAATACTAATCCGATGAACATTTAGAGATAATATGTGACTTATTATAAATCGATCGATATTATTGATCTCAACAAACGAACCTGGTGGACCATCACGGCTATTTATTAGTAGTCTACACATTTACTAATTATCTTTTTTAATTAAAATAGCAATCGTTTAACAGTCGGTCACGCCATATCACAGGAAGTATCAAGGGAATTGTTTCGTTACGTTCGAGAGGTGGGGGGGGAAGGAAAAAGGGGGGGGGGAGAGAGAGAGAAGGGGGGGGGGGGGGTGACGTCCTATCGGGACTAGCATATGGTTCAAATTTATTTCAATAATTTGCTTGCGCTGAGCGATCCTCAGAAACCGGAGGGGGGGGGGGCGGAGAGAGAAAGGGGGGAATAACGTCCTTTGTTTCAAATTTTTTTCAATAATTTGCTTGCGCGGAGGGTCCGGAGAAACCGGAGAAATATCCACGAGCATGGACAGGCGACCTTACTTTGTCACGTACAAGCTTGGAATCAAGACAGACCCTATAATCTAAAGCCCACAGGTCAAACCATCCTTCCAACAAATACTCACATTTCAAACCATATACCAATTAGACGGTCATATAGCAGGGGCGGATCCAGGAATTTTTTCAGGAGGGGGTTTGCAAGGTTCCTGTTAAGGAAATCTGTCATCATTGTCTCTAAATTACATAGGCATGCATACAAATTGAGCTTTTTAAAGAGAGAAATCATTTTTGTAATGATGTAGGAACAAATTGTGATTTAATTTCATTAATGCAAGGCATTCAATTTTTTTATGTAGCTGACCCCCCCCCCCCCCTCTGGATCCGCCCCTGTATAGGGCATATCGTACAGCTTCCTGTTATGTGACATGCAAATTGCCAGGCCCCATATTCGAATCCCGGCTTGGCTTTTATTAAACCCGCTTCTCGCCGGGATGACGATGAAAGTGTGTCTAGTCGTTTGGATGGGACAACAAACACTAGGTCCACCCGTGTTGGCGGGAAACGCTACTGTCTGAGATGAGTTCCGGTTTCACAAAACATTTTAGACTTAAATTAACAATTTACTCAAAATTGTTCGCCTTACTTTAACTAAATTATAGCCCTTTATAAAACGTTTATTGTTTTACAATATCTAATACATCAATAAGAAACTATATGCAAAGTCCTGTGTTTCTAGATCAAAGATATATCTCATAATCAGCGATTGAAAGTTGAGTAAATTCTTAGCTTAAATCTGAGAATGCTTTATGAACTCGAGGCCTGGGCTTTCGTGCCACCCGAACCACTGGTTAGTAAGCCTGTTTCATATTCACTGGGCCACCCATAGACCACATGTTTTTATATAGCCTGTAATAAATGAAATATCAATAATATTTTGTCTAAAATTGTGATATGGAGCAATTGGTCTACAGCGGTGAGATCAGAGAAAATACCAATCTCAACAACCGCTACTCCGGGTCGCATAAAGCCTATAAATTTCCGATTTGAAATAATTTAAAGTTACAATTTCATATTTTCTAAGAAAGTCAAACAAAATTATTTCTATGTCTTTTGCTCAATAGGTTGTCAACTCACTATTATACGATCATAGGTGTCATTCTCACACTTAAAACTCATTTACACCGGAAATAATAACACAATTACCTCCCAATTACCTCCCTTGTTTTCTATTCTCCACCATGGAGTAGCTATCTTCAAACGTTTGAATTTGAAGATGAAAATTATATTTTTGCCAATTTCTCAACTGGCAATAGTGAATTATAGGATTAATAGGATTATTCTTTAACAAGGTAGGACTGTTTATAGATACCATCTATTTTGGGGCTTTATTTTAATACATTTTAAAAATATAACTTAAAAATATGAAATTGTAACTTTAATCAAATTTACACATACAAAAGCCATTTCGTCACATGTGACTAACCGTAGATTAGGGAAAGTGAAAATTACCCAGCTGAATCTGTGTATGTATACGCTACATTTATCTCAGCTAATCACATAATCTATTGGAATGTCGTGCTGCTGTGAATAGTACATATTGTGGTGGGGTGGGGTGGGGCGTCCCAAGGAGGCTGATCTTCTTGTCAATCACGTTGGTTTAAAGAGAGAGGGAAAGGGGGAGTTTAACGTCCCAAGGAGGTGATAATCTTACTTGTCAATCAAGTTGGTTTAGAGAGAGAGAGAGGGGGGGGGGGGTTAACATCAACTGGACACGACTAGGTCACATCGGGACTAACAAATGGTACGATATAATTAATATTTAAACATGTGTAAGTAATATGTGCCCAGTGGTGTTAGACCGCGGGGTTTAATCTTTTCTATTCTTCTTCTCTTCTTGTGTGTGTCACGGGGTGGGGGTGGGGGGGCGAATGGTATAGCGCGTGTACGTTATATCATAAGGTTTATCATTGAGTCAAGTGGGTGGCGTGGTATCTTTAACGTTTGGTCATTTCTTATAATAATAATTATACTGTCTTCTTTAGACGGAGCAGAACAATGGGTCCTTAAGCCCGGTTCCATTGATATTATATTAATATACGGCCTTTATAGGCCAATGAATCAATTTAATATCTTGTGTGACAGGTGGTGAATAATAGGGTCACGCGTATTAACATGACAATAATCCCTATAGATAAATAGCTATACACCTGAGATACCTAGGATAGTTCGTTCGGTCTATTAAATATTAATAAACAGCCTACAGGTGTCCAAATACAGGTAACACACTCCCACTTCTATAATGTCGAGTACAAAATAATGCCTGTGTACATGTCGTAGCATCGGATTAATTCATGCTGATGAAGGTTAGTATATATATACTCTTCAAAAAAAGTAGGGGATGTTGAAATACAAATACCTATGCTTTGACGTCAACGTCAACCGACAACACTGCACTGAAAGAGGAGTGGGTCAGATTGGCTCAAATCGTGGCTGGACGGTTGATTAAAAGCATACCACGACGAATTGCCGAATGTCTGAGGATTGATGGAGCAATTACTCATTATTAAGACAAAAATCAAAAACGTCCATTTTCACTTTTGACGGTGTATCTTTTTGCGAGTGAAATCGGACCGTCAGATAAGCCGCCCATATGAATTGTTTATGTTCGTGTGTAGGCAATTGGCCTGTTATTAACATACACTGGTTACCTCTAATAAAAACAGCAGGGCATTTCCGCAGTTTTGTATTGTTTCTGAATATCCCTTACTTTTTTTTGAAGAGTATATATACATATATTTGAGGTTTTTTTTAACCACAAGATAGTCCCAATATACAAAAAAAAGACTCGCTATTGATCTTGTTTACTCTTTTATGATGTTTTTTAAAGTGCCCACAGAAAAATATGTCGTCATAGATCAACTGTTGAATAAATATGTCTATTAATTTAGAAACAGTTCGAGTTCCGGTAGTGGCCATTTTCTTGAAATGACGCCGAAACTCATTATGGTACACGATTCGTGTACCAACGCTAAAATGTTTATTTTGTCTTAATTAATGGATATCAGAAGACCGTCTTTTCCCCGTAAGATCACAACATCAATGTTGATTTAAATTGACAATTAATTCGTTTTTTTAATTTCGAAGACTTAGGATGATACTGAGTTAGAGAATTAACTACTTTGAATCATGCAAGCAAGATCATTATTTTCCCAAATAAATCATGTAATCACTTCGATGTGCTAGTTAACAAGGGTTGTTGAGTGGTCGAGTAGTTGAACGCGTGCACGTAAAATCATATTATAGTGACTGTCATTGAGTCAAGTGGCGGGGTTTCGATTCCCCGCTTGTACGTAGGATACGGGGATCACGTGGCTAAGTGGGTAAGACGCTAGCTCGCTAGCCTGGAGGTCGGGTGTTCGATCCCTGCATTGGCCGAGAAAGTTCATCCAGATTTTCCGGCGTGGTTCTCCCTTGTCAGTGATGCAGGACGGAGGGGCTGACAAGGAAAGCTGTCTAGTCGTTCGGATGGGACGAAAAACCGAGGTCCCGTGTACACATTGGCGTGCACGTAAAAGATCCCTTGGCAGTTGGAATTCGATATAAGAGTAGGCCGTAGTGCCGCTGCCCGGGCAAAATTTCCCTCATAGCACACTGTATGGCGTATGCCCGTCTTCATTAGCCCAGGTTAGGAGCAGAACAGTAGGACGTTAAACCCCATTTCATTTCATTTCATTTCATTTGTACGTAGGATACGTTAAACCCCATTTTTCTCACGCGATATTTAACAATCATGGTATCTTTTCAACTAGTATTCCAGTTTAATGACACGCTCCCGTCTCTATCAAAATCGACCGACCAATAGAAAGGACTTTTATTAATATTAGAGAGGCCAATCTCTTCTAAGTATTGTAATCATTGGACAAGTTAGAATAGAATGCAACCATTCGCCCAGTAGAGAAAGATAAGCGTGTGTATGCATCCAATAATCTTCGTTATTTACAGGATGTCTGGGGTTTCTTTTCAGATGATGTGAGAGAGCGGATAAACGAAGGATGAAAACTTTAGTTTAGTTCAACCCGACCCAGTTGGAATCGCAATTTTAATGTCTTATATAAACGGGATATTAATATAATTTACTTTATGGTAATCTACGGTGAGGTAGATTAAAATCAGAGATGGCGACTTTTATTAATATTGTAAATATACTGTTGTATGTTTGTATTATCGTCTCCATTTCCGAAGGTAGCAATCCAATTAGACTTGGACCAAATACTATGAGTTTAATATATACCAAGAAACCTGGACTAAAACTTGAAGGTGCGCAACAAACTATGACGCCATGTGTTAATGACGTGTGCACACATCCTGGAAAGGTTCGTTGCGCGAACTTGTGCATACAATCGCAAGAGTGTCGGAGCTTCGGTTATAAACCTACTACAGAAGATACCGGTGTTTGTGTTATGTACAACTTGACTGTGTATGATTTCGGTTCCAAACCAGTTTTTGATGCAGATTGGGATTATTATGGTGTAGATGATGTTGTCGAGGACGGTAAGAAAACTATAAAATAGGATTAGTGCTAAATGATAAGGCCAGCTCAATTTTTAGTCATAGGTCACGAGATGTAAACAGGGCTAAAGCTAATCAAAATCCTAACCCTAACCCTGGATCTATCCCCAATGCTTATCCTAACCCTAACCTACAATCTCGCCAACAATCACGTGCCCTAACCTTATTTACATCCCATGCAGCTACCTTGACAAAACTTGAGCTGGCATGCAGCTACCTTGACAAAACTGGAGCTGGCCTTATCATTTAGCACTGACCATAAAATAGATATAGATGGCGTACAGAGGTTTGATGACGCCCGGGGCCAACTGCCAATCTGCACACAGAGATCCATTTACTTCATACTTCGAAAATACATGTCTGCACTACATGGCCGCCATATCCAAAAAGTACTCCGTTTCACATCTGTCATACACACAGACTAAATACAAACTAGCGGCCACGACCATTTTGGCTGAAATCCCCAAAATTTGGAATATCAGCTTTTTCAGCCCTATTAAGCATATAAACCATATTTCAGCAAAATCGAAGTGGGTATGGTTTAACTCATTGGGTGATAATTGACATGGAATGACCCAAACCACACATTTTGAAAAAAACTTAAAAAATATCGAGATTGCAGGGGACAAGAATGGCTTTAATATATGTTGGAGTTATTAGTACAAATTATAATTGCAACAAGTTTCAGAATTTTAGGTACTTATCTACCGGGTTCCTTTGGCTCGAAAATACGAGGCAATTTTCGAAAATTTGTGTCTAAAACCATAGTCGAGGCCAATAATCTGGGAATCTAGTGAAGACTGATGCGTTCTCGTAACTATGTTTCGTATGTAGTACTATCGGCAATCTCTGGATAGGCCAAAATGTTGGTCTATATCTATTATCTTGTAACTACTGGAGCACTACAAAATCCAGAAAATATACAATTGTTTTCGGTTTTCATGGCCAAGTAGCATGCGAACCCTACCACTCACCTGTCATCGGATTACAGTTGCGTATCTACACTCAATGTTCTCTACCAATTTTGGGCTGTATATCTTTACTAGAAAGGTAAAAACAAGATATCTCAAACTCGAGTAAATTATTGATACCGGTACGTATTTTGTTCCGAAAACTTATCGGTAACTCATGGAAACTCAAATGCCCGTATCTCAGTCATTTTTAAGCTACAAACTACAAATTTTGCAAAGTGTCTAGTTTTTGCATATACATTAACATATTTTTTTCCAGAATTTTTCGAGGGGTTCGATTTCCCAAATTTCTGAAAATTGACCCACTTGACATGGAATAACCCCCATGTTACGCTAGGAAACCACATGCAATTTGTCCCGTGGTATGCTTGGAAACCACTACCAATTTACACTGTGTTACTCTTGAAAACCACATGAATTGTATCTCGCTGTGCGTTTCAAATCCATATGAAATTCTTTTAATCTACCTAGAAAAAAACCCACGAAAATAGTTCCGTGTATCTAATGAAGGGTTTTCAAACATACATCTAATTTAATTTCTAATAAATTTATTTTATAAAATCAAATGATGTTTTTTTTTCTAATCAGTTGTCGATGGAGATTGGATCCTGGCATTCCGTGGGATGAATGGGATTGTGGACAAGATTAAAGATGTTTGGGCCAACACTGGTCTCAAAAATAATCCCAAAGATACGGACCCGTCTTGTTACTCTGTCACTGGAAATTGTTCTTATCACTACAGATCTAGCTGGCTGGATAAATGGGACTCAACTGATATTGATAAGGTTCGTAGATTATATATAGTTCGTAGACAATATCTGCCATTGAACGTTTAAATGTAAAATCGAGACCTCATTTATTATCATAGCAATGATACTTGACAATTGAGACTTATTAAGTCATTTATAACCTCGCTCAGAATAAAATAATTCAACAGAAATTTTCTATATTTAGTTTTCATTACCTATTTTTAAATTAGTATAACAAGATCGGTCAGCTCTTTATCTGAATCTTACATAATGCATCTTTAATTATATTAAAAGTTCGATGTTTCAATCATTTCGTATCAGGTTCGGTCTAATTTCTATGATAATTATAGCCAGAACAGGGAGGCGCTGTGGCTCATTTCGTATCAGGTTCGGTCTAATTTCTATGATAATTATAGCTAGAACAGGGAGGCACTGTGGCTCATTGAATAAGACGCTGGCTCGGTTGTTCGATCCCTGCATTGGTCGAGAAAGATTATCGGGATTTTCCTTCGTGGTTTACCCTTGTCAGTGGTGCAGGACGGAGAGCCTGACAAGAACAGCTGTCTAGTCGTTCGGGTGGAACGAAAAACTGACATGTACGTAAAAAATCCCTTGGCAGTTAGAATTCTATATTTGCCGCTGCCCGGGCAAAATTTCCCTTATGGCACACTGTAAGGCGTATACCCGTTTCCATTAGCCCAATCTGAGCAGAATAGTAGGACGTTAAATCCCATTGTATTTCATTTCATTTTATAGCTAGAACGGTCAGCCTTTTATCTGAATCTTAGATAATGGATATTAATTGCGGTCGCGGTTACTGCAAATTTCATTCAAATTCATGCAATTTTTTAAATTTATTCTTTTTTAGGTTCGGTTTAATTTTTATGACAATGGCGATGAAGTTGTATCAATGACGTTTAATGGAACAGGTTCAACTAAAGATAACTGGTATAGCTGGGACCGTCTACTGGACAACAGTCGATGGACAGATCTTAAAACAGCTGAGCCATTTCACTTTAGTATGACAGGGTAAGATCCTACTCGAAAATCGAAAACCGAGGTCCCGTGTACATATTGGCGTGCACGTAAAAGATCCATTGGCAGCGTATAGACAGGATGAAAAACCGGGATCCCGTGTCCACATTGGCGTGCTCGTAAAAGATCCCTTGGCAATTGGAATTCGATATATGAGTAGGCCGTAGTTCCGCTGTCCGGGAAAAATTCCCCTCATAGCACACTGTATGGTGTATGCCCGTCTTCATTAGCCCGGTCAGGAGCAGAACAGTAGGACGTTAAACCACATTTCATTTTATTTCATTTCTTCTCGAAAAGGAAATATATGACGGTACTCGCTCATTAACAAAAGGGTCTCCCGTGTCAATCTTGAGCCGCGGTGGCTAAGCGAGTAAGACGCTGGTTTGCTAAACTGGAGGTCTCGGGTTTTCTCCCGGTGTTGGTCGAGAAAGTTCATATGAATTCCAGGTGTAGTTGAGCGATATTATCACACTGTATGACATATGCCCTTCTTCATTAGTGGCAGAAAAGTAGGACGTTAAACCCCATTTCATTCATTCATTCTCGAAATTGAAAATATATGATCTTGCAGCTGGCTTGCTAACCAAAATTTCCACTTCATGACATCTTTGTAATTACTGAACAGAATTAAATCATTCGTGGAGTGAAAAGTTTATTCTCGCATGGACAGCAAAGTTACTACTGGGTGTAATGTATAAATTCTTTTGTTTTGAAATTCGATAAAATCTTTTTATGGGTCTATTTTGCCGAGACATGAATTGGCGTTGGTTGATTAAACACGTGTGCTTTAGATTATTATATGGTCTGTCAATGAGTTAAAGATGGGTTCCCAGAAAAGTATTTATCGGGTGGTTATTTCCAATAAAAGTATGGTAATTTGGGTATATATGGAAAGCAGAGATGTCCAATCTTACTAGAAAAATAACGATCTTTTAGAGGCATTTAGTAACTGGATAGAGCAATAAACTATAACACATACTTATGGAAGAACAATTACTGATTTATTTGGGCGACGTTTCGAAGAGTATTCTCTCAGCGTTTTCAAGCAAGTACAGTAACAAATGTGTAGAGCAATTATATATAGACAAGCAATAACAACAATTCTGAAACCATGCATGACAACAACAAGATCAAAGGATTAAAAAACAACATGATCAAAGGCAATATACATATGACGGATTATAGGGGTAAATAATTTTAATTGGACAACCAATCATGACAAATGAGAAACCATACATGATGTGATTGGCTAGGTGAGGGTACATCAAGGGAATAATAAAGGACTGATAATAGGGGTAAACATACCATTAAACCAAACAAAAGGGAAGCCATACATGTTACGAAAACATCAGAGGAGTAGTGAGCTACATAGGGATTAAATGGTTAAGTCATATTTAAGTGAATTACAAAATATTAGTATTAAAATCCACACAACATAGCACACCTAATGATAGTCCAACATTCTTCCTTCCGACAGACTCACACATACATTTATTCCTAGGATAAGTACAAGAGACACTTAACTGTTTACAAAGGATAATTACATAAATGACCATTTGATCATGTTGTTTTTTAATCGTTTGATCTTGTTGTTGTCATGCATGGTTTCTGAATTGTTGTTATTGCTTGTCTATATATAATTGCTCTACACATTTGTTACTGTACTTGCTTGAAAACGTTGAGCGAATACTCTTCGAAACGTCGCCCAAATAAATCAGTAATTGTTCTTCCATAAGTATGTGTTATAGTTTATAGAAAAATAACCATGGAGCGTATACAGGACAAAAATGTAAGGGTTCCCCTAATCAACAGCCCGACGATTAGGAAATTCTGCACGCGTGATTTCAAAGGTCACACGCGAACATTGAGCGCTTGATGTACACGTTGATGAACTTTATGAAGAAATAGACGTACATCACTTTCTGGGATAAAAATGACGGAAAAAGACGCGGGTAGTGGATAATCCGAGAATTTAATTAGGATTCGATATTTGTAATAAATAGTAAGCGCTTAAAAACAGCATCGTCTTATGTATGTAATGAATTCTCCTCTGACTGCCAAGAGAGGTAAGTCACGTGACGTAAACGTGACCCGGTTTGATCGAATTTTTATAGCAGGACATTCCTTCGCAATTACAATGTTTGAGAAGGATTTGAAGCAAGATTATCACAAATTAATTAGTTTGAATATGTTTTTAGTCCATATACAATCACCCAGTTTGTACGCGGGAACCCATCTTTAAGTGGCGTGGTTTCGATTCACTGCTTATACGTAACACGAGGTGGGGTTTCCTGTTCGACCACGTGCGTGTTATCTGGGTCCTCCAGCCACTGCCACAGACCCCTATCATATTTGTCCGCCATTAAAATTTACCCAAAAACTATTGAGACAAGGGTTAATGGAATCCATTTTGTTTTTTCAGGCAACTAAACCATCCGCCACTAGTACACCCGCGGACCAGTGAACCCCTCTTTTAAAATTTACCCGAAAACTACCCAGACAACACCTTATAATCCCCAATCGTGTTAATGGAATCTATTTTGTTTTTCAGACAACTAAACCGTCATTTCTTTGTGAGTGAAGGAAGTGGTAACAAGTTAGAGTGTGGTATCATCAACGGGTGGGTGGTGATTATTGATGTCGAGAAGAACTTTTGTAGCTTTGATAAGGAGTCAGGACCGTTACCTGCTTTCCTCTACAGCAGCAAGAATACCAAGGTGTCAATGGACTCAACAGGTTAGAAACAAAATATAACATTGTTCAATCCAGGACCAATCTGTGGGTAATCCACTAGTAACATCAATGCTGATTGGTTAATCAAATGTCTGACGGCATAGGGTCAAAAGCCGCTCGTATGACCTGTGACGCGACCTATCGCTACAACCGGTCAGATCTTTATGTAGTGTAGGTCATCGAAAGTATAAAAAAACGAAACGAAATATAGATCTGTATTTTAATCAGATTGTTCCAGGACTTATTGTGATATAACAAATACTGTATAATAAAAGAGAGGGTTTAGCGTCCTACTATTCTGCTCCGACTGGGCTAATGAAGACGGCCATACGCTGTACAGTGTGATATAAGGGTAATCTTCCCCGGTCGGGATACTTTTATATCGAATTCAAACTGCCGAGGGATATTTTACGTGTACAATATACTTGGTGCACGGGGCCCAGTTTTCTCGTCCCATCCGAACCACTATAGGCTGTCCCTTGCCAGGGTGGGGGGGGGGGGGCATTTTACACTAAAAGATGGGGGCCCATATAATTTCATAAGGCTGATATGTTTTGTTTGTAAATATGGGTTATTTTTTTAAAGCAAATTTGTAATTTTGTTTTTCAGATGTACTTAAAGCTGACGTTATGGCGGTGTTCATCAAGCTGAAGAGTTGAGTACCAGTTTAACACTAAGGCCAGGAGGACCGCACATCACACAAACAAAAACTAACTAGACAAACCCGTGGACAAGACAAACCTGCGGACAAGACAAACTACACTGATATTATTACTATTATTATTATTATTATGAACATTTTATAGCGCACAATTCACTATAGGTGCTCAAATGCGCTTTACAAACCTGTTGAAAGATTTTGAAAGAAATAGACAACTTTTAACATCAAATCAAGTGAATAGATTAGTTTGGATAATTTTCTTCACAAACAATTATCGTGTTCACAAGCTTGAAAAGGAAATATGTTAAAGCGAGAATTTCAAATTTTCTAAGAAAGTCAAAACATAATTATTTCTATGTCTTTTGCTCAATAGGTTATCAAATCACATAATACGATCATGGGCATTATTTCCCACCCTTAAAAATCTATGACACAGGAAATAAAAACACAATTACCTCCCCTGTTTTGCTATTGACAACATGGGGCAGCCATTTTCTAACGTTGGAATTTGAAGTTAAAAATGATATTTTTGCCAATTTCTCAGCTGGCAATAGCGAATTATTGGATTAATAGGATTATTCTTTAACAAGGTAGAACTGTTTATGGATACCATCTATTTTAAGGCTTTATTTTAATACATTTTAAAAATATAACTTGAAAATGTGCAATTTCCGCTTTAAAAACTGTAACTTCTATCATGTTTACACGGTAACTCTGGAACGGTAGGTCACAGAACGCTGAATATCGACAGTGTTCATCCACTCATTGCAACAATACTTCTCGTCAAATTTTAAAAAAAAAACACCCACTAGATAAACTGTAGCCTAGGCTATATCATGTTCACACATTTTTTTATGTGAAAAAGGGGAAGGTGATAACTTCAAAATCAAAAATGCTGAATATCTGTAGGGCTCCTATACTTCTTTAGTAGGCACTGTGGCCTACTCTCATTTCGAATTCCAACTGTCAAGGGATCTTTTACGTGCACGGGACCTCGGTTTTTCGCCCCGTCCTAACGACTATACGCTGTCCTTTACCAGGGCCTGCGTCTTACAAAACAGACAGGGGGGGGGGGGGTATGCCAGATGATGTTTCTAAGCAAACACCGGGATCGAACACAGGATCTCCTGTACGCCTTTCTTACTGAACCACCGCGACCCACAATTCGCCTAGACGCTAATTTCCATTTTATTCAAGTCTTAAATATGACGTTGAAGTGTTGAGTTGTATTTTTCTAATTGTGTACCAAAATATAATAAATAGTTACCTTTAATCGTTTCGAATCATGGTGTTCACGGCGATTCATGATGTTCACGGCGAATCATGGCGTTTCTGGCGATTCATGGTGTTCACGGCGAATCATTGCTTTTACGGTGATTCACGGTGTTCACGGCGAATCCTTGCTTTCATGGCGAACCATGACGTCGAATCCTTGCGTTCACGGTGAATCCTTGCGTTCACGGCAAATCATGATGTTCACGGCGAATCATGGCGTTTACGGTGATTCATGGTGTTCACGGCGAATCATTGCTTTTACGGTGATTCATGATGTTCACTGCGAATCCTTGCGTTCAGGGCGAACCATGGTGTTGACCGAGAAGAATCCAGGTTGGCGGTTTAACTCTGTATCCAGTTTAGCTCGAGACTGTGCTATTTTAATTAATGCAGTACTGTTCTGCTCCGACTAATGAAGAGGGGCACACACTATATACAGTGTGCTATGGGGGAATTTTGCCCGGACAGCGGCGCTACGGTTATATCGAATTCCAACTGCTAAAGGATATTTTACGTGCACATCAATGTGTACACATTACCTCAGATGTTAGTCCCATCCGAACGATTATACGTTTTTCCACAGCCAGGGTCTCCGTCATGCATCATTGACAAGGAGTAACCACGCCGGAAAACCCCAATGAAACATGGGGTCCCAGTTTAGCGAGCAAACGTCTTACTCACTTAGCCACCGTGGAGCCCCATTAGGCTTACATGATATACATTACAGTATTTAGTAGGTCTACTTAAAAACTAAAAAATATTTACAGATGACGGTGCTCATATATCTGCCATTGCTATGGTTTAGCATACGCAGTGCTAACAAAGGGGGGAGGGGCGAATGATTAGAACATGCACGCTGTATCATACGGTCTGTCATTGAGTCAGCAGGCGTGGTTTCGATTCCCCGGTTGTATGTGACAATGAGTAGGGCCGCCTATCCAACCTCGTGGGTTTTCTCCGGGTCCTCCGGTTTCCTCCCACTGCGAATTATTGAAATAAAATTGTACCATGTGTTAGACCCGACATGACTTGGTTTGTGTCGAATGGACGTTAAACCCCATTTCTCTCTCTCTCTCTCTCTCTCTCTCTCTCTCTCTCTCTCTCTGTAACAAAGAAATTGAGTCTATTAGCACCTCATTAAACCCCATTCGAGTTCATTTGATTTCGTCGATATAGGAAAGAGAGAGTGAAACGGGGTTTAACGTCCACTCAACACTAATTAGGTCATTTCGGAACTAACATATGGTTCAATATGGTCTTAGCAATGTGGGAAAGCCGGAGGATCCGGAGAAAACACACAATTTTCGAGAGGCGATCCTTCTCCTTGTCACGTACAAACGCGGAATCGAAACCACACCACTTGACTCAATGACAGAACCCCACCCCCACCTGCCTACTCCCTGTTCGCTATATGATTCTCGTGTACCAATTGGTGTAATACGTAAATGATCCAATGAGAGTTTGATTTGGCCGACTTCAGTTGGATGCGTGGTAGCCCGGAAACATAACATCTCTCCACCAACACCCGGGACCCCCCCCCCCCCACACACACACACACACACAATCCGAGAAAATCCCCGCACCCCTATTTTAATACGCAAATAAAACTTGGCTCTTTTATGTACCATTAATAATGTATTGTCGATGACAAACAAAGCTAGGTAGTAAATAATGTATCTAATTAGTGCAAAACTTCCAGTGCATTTAATTTTTATTGGAAATGTGTTCGATTTATGTTATCTAGACCTTTTTTTCGCCGACATCCATGTGTGTAAAAATGTAATTTGATTATATTGTTATCTAAAAATATTTACGTCATTCCGATAATCTTTTGTTTCCTTATTCCCCCAATGGACTATAGTCTCGGACACCCAGAACCTCCTAGTCATTTGTAGAAGATGTCTCTGAATGATAGAGACTACATAAAGCCCTTTTTGCCTTGATTATATTTTTCTCTACTAATTAAAGAGTTATAGTCGACTAGGCTCAGATTATTATATTTTATATAAATCAATTACAATACTGGGATGCTTCGTTAAATTACCTTTGAATTTTCTCTTTGTTTATCAAGACTGGTTAGGTTACAAAAGCGTCAATTAATCCTCTAAATAGTTTTCGTAGCGGAACCGTTATTCTCCGGTGACGACGATATTGGTATTATAGAACGTTAACTTACTGGAGTACTTCAAGTATAACAAATATATCTGTGTTAGAGGATGTCGAGGGATCTAAATATGACATAATTTCCGTCGTGTAAAAAAGCAGAAAAGAAACGAATTGTGGTGTATTGAATATTGTAATGAGTATAAAGAGACATGGAGAGAGAGAGAGGGGGGGGGGGAGAAGGAGAGAGATGTGGGTTTAACGTCCACTCGACACAAACTAGGACATTTCGAGACTAACACATGGTTCAATTTTATTTCAATAATTCGCTTGTGCGTAGGGGTCTTTAGCAGTGGGAGGAAACCAAAAGATCAGGAGAAAACCCACAAGGATGGACAGGCCATCGAAACCACGCCAGTTGACTCAATGACAGACCTTATGATACAGCGCGCACGTGCTAACCATTCGGCCATCCACCCACCGCCCCCCACCCCTGAACTTAAGTAGCTAAGTATCTAACTCAATATCAACCGCGGTCTACGTCATTGAAAACACGAATTATTTGTCAATTTAAATCAACACTGGTGATGGGTTCTTACCAGAAAAAATTGGGATTCTGATATCCAATATTTAAGACAAATTAAAAATTTACCATCAGTGCACGAGTCGTATACCAGAATGCGTTTCAGTGCCATTTGTAACAAGGGACTCAAAGAACGAGACTAGACATATTCCACAAGTCACGTCAAATGGTGTCGTCATATTCTTATCTGGGAAGCATGCGCAATAAATACTACCTATGTAGACTGGAATAACCAGACGCTAGAGATTGCCCTTCGATTGAGACTTCTCGCGTATTTCGCCGAACATAACTAATCCATTTGAAATTAGAGTAAAAACGGAAACGATTGAATGTAAATCAGTTTATATACATTCATATTACATTATTATATGCGTTACGACCCATTGTGTTAATTTCTAGGTCCCAAAGATTAGCGATTTAGCTCCTTTAAGGTGCGCTTACGTTCCTGCTCCTCCACTCCTACTCCTCTCAATGCACCTTGACTTTCCTTCGCGGGAGTCATTAAAGACTCCTGCAAATGAGCTAAATCGCTCTCCTAAATATTGAGATTAATAAACTACTTTCAGTTTTTGTTTATTTTTAAACTGCATACATAGCTCCTTTAATGATACGTTTAGATTGGTCAATTAACACCCCTTTAAATTAGATCACTGCGTAATAATATCTGTCAACCGTACTACTTTAATGGGGATGATCACACAAAGGATGCAATCCATTTTGATCGAGGTAAATTTGACGAAATTATCGGTTTTCGAAGATGATCTTTAAACGCCAACACCCGTATTACGTAATAGCTAAAACTAGAAAATATACAATAAACATCAACACAAACAGCAAACTCATTGTAGCTTGTTTTGTCTATAGTAACCAATAATATAACTTTTGAGGAAGTTGATCTTTTCATTGTGTAGTTTTTGTTTCAATCAACTAATTTAGTTGGTAGTATAAAATCTATAAAGATATATGCCACTGTTTCGTAGGGTGGTTATTTCCAAGCAAAGTCTTCCACAGTTAAGTCGTCCACAACCGTTGGTTAAGTCGTTCACAAGGCGTTGGTTAAGTCGTCCACAACTGTTGGTTAAGTCGTCCACAAGGCGTTGGTTAAGTCGTCTACAAGGCGTTGGTTAAGTCGTCCACAACCGTTGGTTAAGTCGTCCACAATGCGTTGGTTAAGTCGTCCACAACTGTTGGTTAAGTCGTCCACTAGGCGCTGGTTAACATTTCAATAATTCGCATTCGCGTAGGGGGTCTTTAGCAGTGTGGGGTGGGGTGGGGGGACCGGAGTTGGACATACGACCCGACTCCTTGCCACGTACATTCGGGGAATCGTAACCACGCCAGTTGACTCAATGACAGATCTTATGATACAACGCGCACGCGCTAACCATTCGGCCATTCACCCCACCCCCCTAAATCGTAATCAAATTGCATATCAACTAATCTTAAATGTAATTTACTATTCCCCCACTGCTAAAGACCCCTACGCGCAAGCGAATTATAAAAATAAAATTGAACCATGTGTTAGTCCCGAAATGACCTAATTTGTGTCGAGCTAGACCCTCTCTCTCTCTCTCTCTCTCTCTCTCTGATTGCGATTTTCAAGTGGTTACACTCTCCACAATGAAGTTTCTAATATGAAATATAGTTATTCCTTTTCTATAATAGTCCCTTTCAATATTCTAAAATATTATAAAGATGACAAATTTATCCGAATGTTTGTAATTCGCATGATGTGTCTCTCTTTCTCTCTCCCTTGCACCCCCAGATACTGCAACGTATGTAATTGATAAGGTTAAAGATACATTCCCGCGTACAAACTGGGTGATTTGATGATATACACATTTGGACTAAAAACATATTCAAACGAATTAATTTATCATAATTTTGCTTCAAATCCTTCTCAAAACATTGTAATTGCCAAGGAATACCCCTGCTATAAAAAATCGATCAAAAGAGGTCTTGTTTGTGTCACGTGACTTACCTCTCTCGGTACCTAACAACGGTTGCGAAGTCGGAGGAGAATTCATCGCATACACAATACAGTGTTGTCTTTAATCGCCGACTATTTATTACAAATATTGAATCCTAATTAAGTTCTTTGATTAACCGCTGCCCTATTCCTAATCGTCCGGCTGTCGATTAGGGGAACCCTTACATTTTTGTCCTGTATACGCTCCATGAGTGTTTTTCAGAGAATCCAGTATTTTTCTAGTAAGATTGGATATCTCTACTTTCCATATATACCAAAATTGCCATAATTTTATTGGAAATAACCATCCGATAAATACTTTTCTGGGAACGTATCTTTAAGAGGAGTCTTATCGAAAGTTGTGCTTGTGTGTATAATAAACAAGTGGTTGTTCTCCCGTATAACTGTGTTAGTTCTATTATATTTCCAGACGCTAAATGCCACTAAAGGATTATGTCTGTTACCCCACTTCTAAATCTGTTGTTTTTTCTCATTTTCTCCTTATATATTGGTGATTTTTTGTTAATAACTAAAACAAGAAACAGAACCTTGAGGCCCTAATGATCTCAGGACATGACTATTGCACAATGACGCGGCCCTAAATTCCCATCAGGAAGTGTTTATCTCCTATAATTCTTTGATCAGTGAATTACATGTATGTATATCTCGGGATTTTGTTTGAGCGTTTCTGGCAGATAAACAATAAACAGCGAGTAAAACATGTTCGAAATATTTTGTTGAGTGGCTAAAATATCAGAAGTGTGGCAATCTCTAATGGAATATAATTAGAGCGAATACAAAACGTTCCTCTCTAAACATCCAACCTCGTGGGTTTTCTCCTGGTCCTTCGGTTTCCTCCCACTGCTAAAGACTCTACACGCAAGCGAATTATTGAAATAAAATTGAACCATGTGTTACTCCCGAAATGACCTAGTTTGTATCAAGTGGACGTTAAACCCTATTTCTCTCTCTGTTTCTTTCTTCTGGAAACAGGTCAGTTTGGATTTCCAATAATTTGGTAGCGGTAATTCTGATATTATTTTGATTATGATGTTCAATTTAAAGGAGCTAAACCTCTAATTCAATATTTCCTATAATATTCAAACCAAAATGAGATTTGTTTTAAATTCAATATCAATCACTTTATATACCTTCACATTACATTAAAGTAGCTAAGTCTCTAATTCAATATCGTCCAAATTCTTTGACATTGAAAACACAAATTATATGTCAATTTAAATCAACATTGATGTTATAATCTTACCGGAAACAGATGGGCTTCTGATATCCAATATTTAAGACAAAATAAACATTTTGCCATTGGTACACGAATCGTATACCATAATGCTTTTCAGCGTCATTTGTAACAAAATTTTATGTTATTTCGATAATTCGCCTGCGCGTAGGGGTATTTAGCAGTGGATCGACACAATAAGAAGTGCACTACATGTATTTTCACTGGGTAGTGGGTGCCCCTGAGGGTATAGCTTCGGGTTTTTTTTATTATTCTTAATTTATCATAGATTTTACAAAGGAAAAATAAATAATATTTTGACTTCATATTAGACAGAAATTATAAAATTGTCACTCCAGTCAATCTCCATCAAGATGTTAAAGAAATGATTTTAGCGTGATAGCTAGTTATAAAGCTGGAGAATGCATCGATTAACACTCGATAATCAATTAGTGGTCTTATCCCGGATTTTATTTTTCGAGTTGTCTTTCCTTGATATTAGAGACGAACAAGTTTGGAATGAGAAATTTCATTGGATGCTAATAGGATTATAACCCAATGAGATCTCATTTTATACACGCATTGATCACGTGGTGATTTGTTGACATCATGGCTGAAAATGTGCGAATTCCATGAATATTATATTTCAAAGTCAGGTATTTAGATTTTGTTTTTGATTTCAATATTGCATTGGACAGACTACGGGTAGCATATATCGAATGTTGAATTTTTAAATAAATGCGGATTCTGGAAGAAGTCAATGGACATCTTTCGTTGCATGTCGATGTTGTTGAAGAAGTCAACTAGTCAAGCAACCGTGCGCCAGTTTGATTTAGACTACTGTCTGATTCATCGTAAATTTTAAACGGATTTCTTCGATTATGAACAAACTACTTAACGTTGGTTATTATAAACTTACCTGTGTGTTTGTAATGAACTCCCGTTCGATAAAATCCATTGCACAACTAATTATCACAACGATGAAAACAAGTTCTCTCTTGAAAAATTGAAACATCACAAACTTTTCCCAGAGAAAAATACCAACATGGAAGATGGTTACGTCACTCTGCGGAGGATATCATTTCGTATTAGGGGTGACAGCATAGGAAATTCAAGTACAATTACGACAAGAATCCATGACCACTCGGACCAAAGACCACTCGGTTCAAGACCAGTCGGACCAACTGATAGACCACTCAGCCCAAACAAATAGACTACTCGGACCATACAAAAAGACTATTCGGACCCAACAGAAAGACGACTCGGACCAATAATAAAATGTTGTTTTAATAAATTGATAATTGCGTTTGTTTTAATATAATTACTGGAACCAATAATAAAGTGTTATTTTAATAAATTGATAATTGTGTTTATTTTAATATGACTACTCGAACCAATAATAAAGTGTTATTTGAATAAATTGATAATTGTGTGTGTTTTAATATGACTACTCGAACTAATAATAACGTGTCGTTTGAATAAATTGATAATTGTATTCCAAATCGCAAAATATCGAGAACCACACTTGTAGTCACGTTTAAAAAGGGGCATATAAACGTCCGGTCTTCGTATTATTATGTGCTGTTTATATTAACGCATCAAGGGCGGATAACTTGAAAACGTGTCTCCACCCCCCCCCCCCATATATAGTAATCCAGGGGTTAGTGGGGTAGAACGGAATGAAACCACTGGGGATACCGCGAATGTGGAAAAAGTAAAATTAGGCTATCAGACAAGAACAGTATACCCGTATATGTAGAAACTGTCAAAAGTCTGGACATACCGAGTCTCATTGCAAGAGTAAAGAAAAATTAGATTGATATTTCTTTTTGGCACCATTATTAATTAATTTTAAAACTAATCGTTGATTTATTTTCCGTACACAAAATTGAACCAAACAACTCTAAATATAAGAATTCCGTATAAGAATTATTTGCTTCTTTGTATTGTGATTTAATAATAAATAAATAGCATATTGTCTATCCTTATAATATAATTTAATTGGTCCGACTGGTCTTGTTTTGGTCCGGCTGGTCTTAGTCCGAGTAGTCTTTGGGCCGAGTGGTCTGGATACCTACGACAATTGGCATTGAGTTTGAGCGTTCGCACACATAACTACCCGCATTCCTGTATTTAGTTACCGTCTTTTACATTCTAGTAAAATCTCTGCAAATTTTATAGCTTTACTTTTTGAAATATTTTGTTCTAATTATTTGATTAGCGAATCGGATGGGATTATTTACTTTTGAACACGCATGCCGCACAAACACAACTATACATTCGTTTTACGGGCTTTATCACACTTCGGTCAAAACTGTCGAATCGAGAATTAATGTTCCGCTTCTTACGGGGTCATACGGGCTTAGTAGCATTATATACCCACCCGGGCACCCAATACGGCAATAGACACGCTGAGGGCTGCCGCAACACGCTTAAAGATGTTACTGAAGCGGTTATTATTCGATCGAAAGAATGCGTATAAAATTAAAAATACACTCAGAGAATTCGGAGGTAAGCTTCATGATCCTTGTTAAATTATTTATAACATAAAGAAGATAGGATATTTATAGTTTATTCATGACTTTATTTTTACGAGTATCCGTGCAATCAGTGATATTTTGATTGTGAAGAAAATTTGATAGACTGGCGATCAATGGTTTCCATATAAATCTCCTATGTAATTGCCTTCAATTGATATTTTTCGTCGCCCAAACCCATATACGATCAAAATGATCGCGCTGTCAAACTATCTTTCAATGTTAACCAACCCCCGCAACAGGTACATTGGATTCGACCATTACGTCACGAAGACATTGTTGACATCGACTCTGTCGAAATTACAAGTAAATTTTCAAATTTTTCAAGAGAGAAATTGTTTTCATCGTTGTGATAATTAGTTGTGCAATGGATTTTATCGAACGGGAGTTCATTACAAACACACAGGTAAGTTTATAATAACCAAAGTTAAGTAGTTTGTTCATATTCGAAGAAATCCGTTTAAAATTTACGATGAATCAGACAGTAGAGTAAGTTGGTTCGATATTTGTCTTTGTTCCATGACCATATTTTGTATAAATATATCTTCATTGCACTATGGTTGTCATTCTTTGCTTGATAAAGACGGGAGAACCCTTGTTGAAACGTCGCTGAAATAAACTCTTCAAGTAACTTGTATTCCATATAATTGTGTCCTGTGTTATTCTCATCCTGTTACTAAAAGTGCAACTTAAACATGTACTACATGTATGTACTATGTAGACCTACAGGACAGGTATACTGCAAACGCTGGTGTAAATGAATTGAACGATTTTGCCTGAGGAAATGAAGTGAACACATTAACAGCTGTTGCAGATACTGCACAATGGCAAGGTTTAATTATGACATAATCAATCAATTAGCCAGAAAATGTTGTAGGCCTAATTGTTGCCCGTTACAGAGCAATAACAACTTCTGCTATTAAAGCATTCGCAAGTTTTTACAAAATAAGCAAGGGACATAATTATAGAAGTAATTAATGGAAATTATGATCTTTGATAGGCTTCTTTGTTTCATTAATTAATTAGTTTATTTGGAGAATTAAGAGAATCAAACAAACTGAATGTTCAAGGATATACATTTCTATGGTGAACAGTCTTTTCTTAGCATGGCTTGGATTATACTCTCACTTGCTATCAATCTCTCATAGTCCCTATAAGTGACCACACAGGATTTGAGTTTTGGAATAGATGACCGATTTAGATTTTAATAAGGCCACGGTTAATAAATTGTTTGTTTCTCATGACCTGTATTACATAAGGTAATGAATAATTATTTCAGTAGTAATTTATGTCATTGTTGTTCTTGCACAAAACGGCAACTTTTATAGCCAGTGAAAATTTGGGACAAAGCTCATTCTTGAATATTAATAAACATAGACTACATGTACATGTATGTACAGTGCACATAATTAATAACTGCATTACATTCAAACTTAAATCATGTTGAAGTGAACTATCGGTAATTGTTTTTTTATCATTAATCTTCAATTACAAATGTGAATATGCATTAAGAAAAGTCATTCCCGGAATTGAAATCGTTTGTATGTTCTTAATTTTAATTACAATGAAATTACAATTAAGAAGGTGCTCTAAGAAAAGTCATCATTTAAATAGATTGTATTTCCTTGATTTTATAATTACAAATGTGAATATGCTCTAAGAAAAGGAGGGTTGTATGGCCGAATGGTTAGTGTGTGTGGGCTGTATCATAAGGTCTGTCATTGAGTCAACTTGCGTTTTTTCCGATTCCCCTGTTGTACGTGACAAGGAGTAGAGTCGTTTGTCCAACCTCGTGGGTTTTCTCTGGGTCCTCCAGTTTCCTCCTACTGCTAAAGACCCTACGTGCAAGCCAATCGTTGAAATAAAAGTGAACCATATGTTAGTCCCGAAATGACCTAACTTGTGTCGAGTGGACGTTATACCCCATTTCTCTCTCTCTAAGAAAAGTCATCATTGAAATAGTTTATTTTCTCGATTTTAATTTTTCTGAGTTTCACCATTTTCATTTGTTTAAGGTGTGAATGTAAATATCAGAATATTTGAAATTATAACAAAATGGAGAAATATGAAATTCTACAGAAACTAGGTACAGGAGCCTGTGGTGCTGTTTATTTGGCCAAAGATAAAGAAAGCAAAAGGTAAAAAATATGAGATAATCTTTTTGTCTCCGCACTGGTGAGATTAGGGAACCACGTTGGCAGAGAAAGTTCTTCATGATTTGGGGTGTGGTGTGGGACAGAGGGGCTGACATGGGGCAACGTACATGTATAGTCGTTTGGATGGGATGAAAACCCGAGGTCCAGTGTACACATCGGCATGCATGTAATTGTAAAAGAACCATCATCAATTGGAATTCAATATAAGAGTAAGCCTTAAAGCCGCTGTCCAGACCAAATTTCCCACAAAGCGCACTGCAAAGTGTATGCCTGTCTTTATTAGCCCAATCGATGCAGAAATGCAGGACGCTAAACACCATTTCATTTCATTTCAATTCTTATATAGACAACACTAACAAAATGGTATACATGTAGTTACGTGAATTCATGATACTTTACTTTACATAAAAGCATGATATGTTAATTTAATTTGCAAAGTTTCTGTGGGTTATCAAAATGAACAGCTGTCTAAATTTCAAAGTAGAAGCCTTGGAATATTCTGAGGTTGAAAGTGTTATTCAGGCAAAATATTTTATGTCTAGCTAGTGTAATAAATTTTCTCAAATTATATTACAAACAAATTACGGTATTAATTAAACATGCATTATGCAAGAGCTAAATCTGCCTATTGCAGGTCTTTCTTTAGGCCTTAAATGTTATATAAATTATTAATTGGATATAATCAACTCTCTAGATCATTGGATAGTCTAGATATTCAATAGATTTAAATACAATTTGCGGATGATGATTTAACATGAAAATGGATAATCAAGACTTTGTTTATTATCGTAATAATGGTAGCAATGACAATCAAGTCTACAGTGTAATTATATATCGGGGATATCTCAGAATAAAGTATTTTGACTGAAATTTTCAACATATTCCCTTTTCTTTATCTATTTTTTAACTATTATAGCGACAACTGTCAGCTCTTTATCTAATCTTACATAATGCCAAATTAAGGCTTAATTTGAAAACAAAAGATCTTTATAATTAGTGGCTTTTATTCTTTATTTTATTTCAGACAATTTGCATTGAAGAAAATAGAATTAGATGACAAGAAGAAAGTTCGAACAAAAGAACATGTTTTAAAGGAAGCCAGGTATGTCTACATGCAGAATTGTAACTTATTCAAATAGAGAGAGTGAGAGAGAAATGGGGTGTAACGTCCACTTGACACAAACTAGGTCATTTTGGGACTAATATATGGTTCAATTTTACTGAACCATATGTTAGTCCTGAAATGACCTAGTTTGTGTGGAGTGGAAGTTAAACCCCATTTCGCTCTCTCTTTCATTTCAGATCCATTTTTGCCTCTCGATATTTTGATATTTTAAGATCCAAAGAATAGAGGAAAACACCCTTTAAATAATATTTATATTTTCAGCATATTAGAACAATTAAAGCATCCACATATTGTTGGTTTTCAAGAATCCTTTTTAGAAGGCAATGACCAATTTCTTATAATACTACAGGTAGGTGAATGAAATGAAAAGGTGTTTAATGTTCTACTGTTCTGCCCTGACTGGGCTAATGAATGACGAGCATACACCATACAGTGTGCTATGAGGAAAATTTTGCTCGGACCGTGGCGCTACAGCATACTCTTATATCGAATTCCAACTTCTAAGGGTTCTTTTACATGTATACCAATGTGTACACGGGACCTCGGTTGTTGTCCTATCAAAACAACTATACATTGTCTCTTACCAGAGAGAGAGAGAGAGAAATGGGGTTTAACGTCCACTCGACAAAGAACTAGGTCATTTTGGAACTAACACATGGTTCAATTTTATTTCAATAATTCGCTTGCGCGTATGGGTCTTTAGCAGTGGGAGGACACCGGAGGACCTGGAGAAAACCCACGAGGTTGGACAGGCGACCCTACTCCTTGTCATGTACAAGGGAATTTGTTTTTATACTGTATGATGTTTATTGCTATTTAAACATACATATTATGCAAGAGCTAAATCTGCCCATTGCAGGTCTCTCTTTGGGCCTGAAATATTATCTAAATTATTAATTAGACATTAATCAACTCTCGATGTTATCGCTAGCAATCGATATTGACTGGATTAGGATCTGATCTGCTGCTCTTCACTTATTCATGATTAATCAAGAAATGGATAATCAAGACTATGTATTTTATTGTACTGACTTTACTAATGATGATTGCTAAATTCCCGGTTCAGAGCGGATCAATTTGACTGAAATTTTCAGCAAATTCCCTTTACATTATCTAGTTTTTAACTATTGTAGTAAGAACTGCCAGCTCTTATCTTATCTCCCATAATGTATCTTTAATAGATGGTCGTATGTAATTTCAGGATTATTGTGATGATGGAACAATTCAGGATAAAATACAAGATGCTGAGCGTGTGAGAATTAAATTATATAATCACTGTAAATATTGCTGATCTTCAGCAATTTCATTTCCTTGACTTAAAGATGGTTTATCTTGTAGATTTTGTGGTCCTCCTGCATTTACTAATAGTGATGTACAGACAGGGTGGTTACGCAGGGCCAGCTACATTCAAGAGCTAATTCTGTCTATTGCAGGTCTTTATTTAGGCTTCAAAATTTATATAAACTATTATATAGACATTTATTCACATGACAAGCCCATAATCAACCCTCTAAGACATCGATGGCCGAGAATTAAATGGATTAGAACACTAGTAAGATTTAAGAATTTAACGATAAAATGGATAATCAAGACTTAATTTTGATTGTTAGTAATGTTGTGATAATAGACAGTCTATGCTACATCTTCAAACAGTCATTACTTCGTTCAGAATAAAGTATCTATACCAATGTCCAAAAGAAAGTATACATACTAAAAAAAGTTTTGTTTAAATTTTAAAAAATGTGATAAAACTACACTGAACATGTCTCGTGCGTCCAAAATCAATATTTCTAAGAAAATAAATGGCAAAACAAATGGACATTGTACCAAAATACTGCATACAATGGAAAAACGACTTTGTTTGAAGCAGGACAAAATGCAGTGTATACTTTCTTTTGGACATTAGTATATATTCGAACTTTTATATCAAGAACAACCGGCTCTTTATCTAAATCTTACATAAAGCATCTTTAAGTACATAGTTGTTTTTTTTTGCTTCATTTAACATCTTGGATTGTGTTTATTTTCTAGATAATATTTATATTATATTTTTCAGATAAATTCTTCCTTTGAAGAAAAACAAATAATGGAGGTAAAACCTCGTTTGGAAGTTTTTTAAAATAATCCCATTTGATTTCTTGATTTTATGCCATGCGGCTATTTAATGTGGGGCCAATCTCATTAAATCACAGATCCTATTTCGTTTTGTTTTTTATAGTTCAAAATTTAGTTTTACTTGTCTTCACAACACTAGGATCTGGAAGAGTTGTTATATAACTGGCTTTCTGGTTGATGTGAGGAATTGATGTGAGAACTGCCAACTCGTTATCTCATCTCCCATAATGTATCTTTAAACGTTATGTATTATTTATTCTAGTGGTTTATACAGATTGTAATGGCCGTCCAGTATATTCATTCCAAGAAAGTTTTACATCGAGATTTAAAAACAGAGAATGTTTTTCTAACCAAGAAAAATGTTGTTAAAATTGGTAAGTTACAATTCACAGCAATACTGTCAAACATGTGGAATGTACAATGGTGGAATACTACTGACAAAATTATGCAGGTTACTCACATGGCTATATGAAATGAAATGTTGGTTTTAGGTCATACTTTTCTGCACCGACTGCGATAATGAAGATGGATATGAGTGAAATTTTGCCCGAACAGTGATTCCAGTTGTCAGAGGTTCTTTTACGTATGGGGGGTTGTATGGCCGAATGATTAGCATGTGTGCGTTTTATCATAAGGTCTGTCATTGAGTCAACTGGCATGGTTATGATTACCTGGTTGTACGTGACAAAGAGTAGAGTAGCCTGTCCAACCTCGTAGGTTGTTTCCTCCCACTGCTAAAGACTCCTATGCGCAAGCGAATTATTGAAAAATTATTGAACCATATGTTAGTTCCGAAATGACCTAGTTTGTGTCAAGTGGGGGTTAAACCCCCTCTCTCTCTCTTTCTCTCTCTCTCTCTCTCATTGATATAAGTAATGTTTGTATGTATATTGATATATGTATATTGTATGTTTCAGGAGATTTTGGTATATCTAAGAGATTAGATAATACTATTGATGTGGCTAAAACTGTTGTGGGTACACCGTCCTATTTAAGTCCTGAACTCTGTCAAGATATACCTTATAACTCGAAATCAGATATCTGGGTTAGCATTTAATGTATTTTCTATTTTATTGGGGTTTTTGGTTTTGTTTTGTTTTGTTGCCCTGTCAAATTTATAATGAATAGGGTAAATATAAATGCTGTTGTCCGAGCAGGGTTGGGGGGTTGGATGGCCGAATGGTTAGCACGTGCACGCTGCGTGTTGTATCATAAGGCCTGTCATTGAGTCAACTGGTGTGGTTTCGAATCCTTGGTTGTACGTGACAAGGAATAGGGTCGCCTGTCCAACCTCGTGGGTTTTCTCCGGGTCCTCCGGTTTCCTCCCACTGCTAAAGACCCCTACGCGCAAGCGAATTATTAAAATAAAATTAAACCATATGTTATATCCCGAAATGTCCTAGTTTGTGTCGAGTGGACGTTAAACCCCATTTCTCTCTCTCTCTCTCCAGGCAGGGTTATCCCCCTCACATGAAATCATGACAGAACTGCAATCGAGTGGCAATCAATTGAGTCTAGAGGTGGTGTGAGTGGAATCCTGAATATGTTTCCACTGTCATGGTTGTTTGAGATTTGTTCTTATGCTTTGTAGCCTGAAAACCCTTTTGGGATTAAGAGAATTTATTTCCAGAACAATCAATCGAGTATCCCCGATAGGATTGAAAATCACCATATGTTAGTCTTAAAGTGACACATGTATTGTGTTGACTGGACTTGTTGTTTTTATTTCAGGCAGTGGGCTGTGTATTATATGAGTTATGTGCCCTTCGTCGTCCATTTGATGCCAATAGTTTACTTAGTTTATTCTTTAAGATAATAAAAGCAGAATTCGAGGTAAGGCAACAGAAACGTAACCACAGATTATTTCAGCCATTGGACTGGTTGGATTGAGACCCCAGATAAGGGGCTGTGAAGTATAAAAGATAAAATGCAAAAGCTGGCTTTGTCTAAAATTTAAAAGTTGTTAATTTATTGGCTACTTATTAATGATGATAATATTGTTTTGTAGTTTTAGCCTTTGAACATGATTGGCCTGAAATCTGGGTGTGACGTTGTAGTGCTCACACTACAAGCGGCTGGTAATCTCACACTGACTAACAATTGTTAGTACGTTGTAGTGCTTCACCTTTTTTTATCTCCAAATGTTAAACGTCTTAGTCCCGGAAACCCAATTGGGCCAATACAAAGCAAACGACCAATGTGCCCATATTAGTATGGGCGCCCCATAAAGCCAGGTGACATTGGTTGGGCTGCCCCCTTGCCCCACCCCTGCTGGCTACGGGCCTGAAATGCCATTGAAACAATTTATGACAAGAAATGTAGACTCCACTTATAATACAGATCTACACCTTTTATTATAAGATACATAAATACGTTAAATATTTCAGCCAATACCATCTATGTATAATACAGATCTACACAGTTTAGTTAATAGTTTATTACAGAAATCACCAGAGGAACGGCCCAGGTCAGTTGGAATTTTGATGTCATGATATTAGATTCATTTCTAGTTTCAAATTGGAAAGGTGTTTTAATGTGTTAATTTCTCTGAACAAATGGAAAATAATGATGTCCGACATACGTCATGAAGTGTGTTATGAGGGCAATTTTGGATAGACATTGGCCTTACGTCTGAGACTAGAAGCACCAACAAAATTTCAAAGAATTTAGAAATCTCAGAGATTTGAGTGGGAATGTGGCTGCCCTGCTTCACTTTGTTTTACATTTGTAGTCTGACGTGGTGTGAACTGTAAATCATAAGGTCTATCAAAAAGTCAAGTGGTGACCCCAATTTACTGGGTTTTCTCCAGTTTCCTCCCACTGCTAAACCCCATACCAGGGTTCTTTATCCATTTTGAAACGAACCGGCCAGAATTGGGTCAAATGAGCTTCCCATAGGTACTGGGTTTTAAAATTTTAAGCTTCCATTCCCTTTAATATAACCAGACTTCAACAAAAATAAGCGATTTATTGAAATAAATTGAACAATAATTTAGTCTTGAAATTACCTAGTTTGTGTTGAGGGATGTCAGACCCCATTTCTCTCTCTTTTACATTTCCTTTTGAAAACCTTAGTATTGGATATTTTAACGGTTTGGATTTTTTATCATGAAAAAATGTATATTTTCAGTGCCAGTGCCATACTAAACTTGCCATTTATAAAACAACACTTAGCTGGATTTATCGAAGAGAAAGAAACCCTCCTTCAACAGAAAGTTCTAAAAGATAACTCTAGTAGTAAACAGTCTCCAGTCGTCCAGTCTTCTGCTATTAAACTAGCCAAACACAGGTTAGTCTTGGTTGTCCAGTACTGTTGTTACGATATTAAACAATCTATGCTACATTTTCCAACACTCATAACTTCGCTCAGAATCAAAGTAATTTGACTGAAATTTTGAATATATTCATTTTTCATTATCTATTTTTGAGCTATTATAGCAAGAACGTCCAGCCCTTTATCTAAATCTTACATAATGTATCTTTAAAGTATTCAACTTGTTTGTTTCTAGTGATCAGAGTCCCAGTCCTAGAATCAGACGAAAACAGAACTTCCTGTCACCAGGAGATCTGCTGGTTACTTCTCAAAGTATTAAATGTGATCCAAGTCCAAATTCAGACCAGTTGAAGCCCGACAGAAGTCCGAAGAGAGAAGCTGGAGAGGAACTTGATTATTCTGATGATTTTGATGAATCGTCAGATTCTGAAATAGAAGAAGGTAAATAAACCTAGAAAACATTTTGAGTAAAGTCTGTATCATTACAGGTCCTTGACAGTACAGCACAGTGGATGCCTACAAGAAAGAGAAATGGGGTTTAGTGTACACTCGACACAAACTGTGTCATTTTGGGACTAAAACATAGTTCAATTTTATTTCAATAATTCACTTGCACGTAGGGGTCTTTAGCAATGGGAGGAACCGGAGGACCCAGAAAAAACCTACCAGGTTGGACAGGCGGCCGTCCCTCTCTCTCTCTCACTTTCTCTCACTCTCTTATTACAGAAGCTCCACATTTTAGGTTGGAGAAGTATGATATACAGATAGAGATGTATAGTCCTATATTCTCTAGACCACACCTTGGGACATATGAAAAAAATAGCGGCACCCCTGGCTACATATGTATCAAAAATATTTGAATATTGCAAAATAAAAAACATGGCAAGTCATAGACGGCATACAACCGTAGACACAGACTAGTCATAGACACATAGAACACTGGTTGAGAATCACTGCTCTAGACAGACTAAAAACAATGTTTTTTGTTACTTTTAGATATTGTAAATATAGAAGATGAAGATACAACAATAGAACCATCCGTTGAATATGCTGATGATTTCGAGGAGTATGATCCCAGCGAGGTAAGACCCGCGTAGAATGAAATGAAATGGAATGGAGTTTAACGTCCTACTCTTCTGTTCCAACTGGGCTAGTGAAGACGGGACCTGACTAAAATGTTTTAATATTAAAACTGACTAACCCACTTCACATGACCACCAATCTGATTAAAACACAGATCCTATTTCGTTTCCTTTTTTATAATTCAAATTTCGTTTTATTTGTCTTGACTACACTAGGATCTGAACGAGTTGTTATATAATCCGCGTTCTGGTTGTACGGAGGGATTAGACACTGAAACGGTCTGTTATGGTGAGTTCTTGGCGTGTGATGCACGTGCTAACCATTCGGCCATCCGACATGTGTGTGTTGCATCTTATGGTCTGTCATTGATTGAGTCAAGTACCCGCTTGTACATGTCAAGGAGTGACAACTCATCTGTTTTCCTTGGGTCCCCCAGTTTCTTCACACTAATTATCGAAATAAAATTAAATGACCTAGTTTGTGTGAGTGGACATTAAATCCCATTTCTCTCTCTCTCTCTCTCTCTCTCTCTCTCTCTCTCTCCCTCTCTCTCTCTCAATTACAAAATGACATGGAAACAATTTAAGTTAGAGATATAACATGTCCAGAAATTATTTTCAATTTTTTTTTTTTTTGTAAACTGTTTCTAGGATTTAGATGAAATTGTGAACCAAGCGAAAGAAGCCCAGGATCTACAGCCTGTTGATGATTATTTTGAAGAAAGTTTTAACACAAAAATTGCTGCATTTTCCCAGACGCAAATAATAAAAAGGTAAAGAGAACATTTCTTCCACGCTGCAGTGTTGTGGTGTTGTACAACCCTGCTAACCAAAAATAGACATTGTGATGACCCCAAATTATTAGTACATATTGTCACAAGTTGATGCAATTTGGACAATTGGGCATAGACTTTCTAATTACGATAAATAATCTAGATCACCGGCAATGTTCATTACTTGGCCCAGTATGTCATATTGTTTTGCAGTGTGAAGTAGTCCTATTAGGGAAGAAGGCTAGAACTATCCTCAAAGAATTGGCATCCATAAACATCTAGTTTAACAGAATGTCAGTCTTGACTGTTTCAAATTGATGGAATTGCAATTGTTTAGCATGGAATTAAGCCCTGTCACACTTCTTCAAGTCCCGAAAACCGATGTGGTATGAACAGAATCGTGATGAAATCAACCATTTCAGCCCTGTTGATTGGGTGGAGATGGTGTCATATTGCCTTTTCGCCCAAAATGTTCATATTTACTTGATTGACACATTTCGGGGCATAGAGAGAATACAATTTCAGAATGTTCAGTTGAGTTATCTCCGCCTTGGTGCCTCTGCCTGCAATGCTAAATTGAAAGTAGAAAGCAAACCTATAAATGTTTGGAAATAAGCTTATGTACCAATTAGTGATATTTTATTTGGTTATTTTAGACATTATTTAGATGCTATTAAAAAGGAAGGAGATATGTCACAAGTACAGAAACTGGTTCAGGATGGAACTTTACCTAAAAGTTTATTTGGGTAGGCAATTCATAAACTGTTTTATTTAACTCGTTAAGTGTGTAGGTCGTTATATAACGTCCTGGACAACTGCCACTCACTGTGTGTAGGGCGTAATATAACGCCTTGGAGGTATTTTCCCAAACCTATTCTTAGAACATAGCACATAGTTCTTTGTCACTTCGTCAAATTAATTACACAATAGGGGGTAGTTAACGTTTTAAAAACGTCACTTAACGGGTAAACCTAAATTTAAAAAAAAAAAAAAATTCTGGAAATACAGTGGAATCTGTCACTTCCGACATTGTACAGGATCGTTAAAATATGCTGGAATAAACAGCATGACGGAATACTCAATACCGGAAGTATTATTGTACTGTTGAATACCGGCAGTATAATCTTCTTTTGTTGTATATCGATGTTGTATTTAGTGGCAAAAATTTATTATTTACGTTGCTATAACGTTCGCATTACGAACGGTCAGGTAATGCTCAAAAAAAAAAAAAATGGTTTCATCACAATAACAGACGGCATGAGCATGCGGAATTCTTCAACAGTACCGAGATCAACACAAGCTTCGCCACTAACTTTAAAGACTCGTGCGCAGCAAGCCTCGGCAGATTACGGCAGCATAGATTCGTAGAATTTTAGGAGGTGTGCGGAATGTTTAAAGGCTTTGATGTTAAAATCATTTTGTTGATATCAAGGAAATCTCATCGATAATTTATTGATGATTACATGTCAAGTCTTCTGTAGGTTAACACGCACGGATTGAAGGCCGGATTATACAATGTTAATTCAATGCAAATCGTTTGACAGGAACGCTGATTGATGTCGGAATTTGTAATATTCAAAATACGGATTACTCAAAACTTTTTTGGTTGAAGTAATAAGGAAATAAATCGAGAATTAAAAATTATGATGAATTTCACAGAATACCGTAGTATTCAGATGTCGGATGTGACAGTGTCCTCTGTATGATGTATTTGTGTTGAATATTAAAATGTTTTATCTATATTAATAAAATCAAAGTGTGTATGTTCACCCACCGAGCTTCGTTTCCACGCTCCACTCCCACATGTGTGCTATCTAATTAACCAGCATAACCCTATGAATATTTTAGGCCATCCAATTTGGGCCCCGGGCAAGTAATACGCAGGCTCACTAGCCTGGCGGTCGCGGGTTTGATCCTGGTGTTGACCGAGAAAGTTCATTGGTATTTTCCGACTTGGTTTCCCCTTGTCAATGACATGGACAGCTGTCTAGTCATTCGGATGCATTAAAAAAACCGAAGTCCCATGTACACATTGGTGTGCACGTAAAAGATCCCTTGGCAGTTGGAATTCGATATATTTGTAGGCTGTAGCGCTGTTGTCCAGGCACAATTTCACTCATAGTAGGATAATCTTTCAGAGGCATTTAGTAACTGGATAGAGCAATACACAAAAACACATACTTATGGAAAAACAGCTACTTAATTTATTTGGGCGATGTTTCGAAGAGTATTCTCTTAACGTTACTGTATTAACTTGATAACTTTGAGAGAATACAGAGGCGGATTCAAACACACCAGTCTGGGAAATAGCTCTTGGAATGGCTACAGAGGCAAGGAAATGAAGGATAATTTTCTTGGGACCCCCCCCCCCCTCAGCGGCGTGCCCCGTCTCCGCGGTCAATGCCTTCATTTTGCAGCCGCCGCCCCTTTTCAAAATTCCTAGATCCGCCCCTGGAATACTCTTCGAAACATAGCCCAAATAAATTAAGTAGCTGTTTTTCCATAAGTATGTGTCATAGGATGTTAAACCTGATTCAATGTCATTTTATTGATTGATGAGTGTGGGGATCACGTGGCTAAGTGGGTAAGACGCTAGCTCGCTAGCCTGGAGGTCGGGTGTTCGATCCCTGCATTGGCCGAGAAAGTTCATCCAGATTTTCCGGCGTGGTTCTCCCTTGTCAGTGATGCAGGACGGAGGGGCTGACAAGGAAAGCTGTCTAGTCGTTCGGATGGGACGAAAAACCGAGGTCCCGTGTACACATTGGCGTGCACGTAAAAGATCCCTTGGCAGTTGGAATTCGATATAAGAGTAGGCCGTAGTGCCGCTGTCCGGGCAAAATTTCCCTCATAGCACACTGTATGGCGTATGCCCGTCTTCATTAGCCCAGGTTAGGAGCAGAACAGTAGGACGTTAAACCCCATTTCATTTCATTTCATTTCATTTGATTGATGAGTGATTGTTCTTGTTATTATTACAAAGTAAATATGCTAGTTATGTTTTATATTATTTAATAGGTTAGATTTACAGTGTACCAGTGATAGAGGTGAACTGTGTTATTTAACCAGCGATGATTTAACAGATGTTTTATAATTTAAACAAATTTACAGTGTAACTGCTGATATATCCGGACCAATCATATATCCGTCCATTCAGTTAGCTGTACCTCCATTTCTCAAGTCATCTAACTGGACATTCAGTACCGTAATTAATTCATCCATCTGTCTGGCAGAACAGCCTGATAGCTGTCGGCTATGCCGCTATTATTAATTAATTCATCTATCTGTCTAACAGACTAGCCAGATTGCTGGGGTAACTCCCCCCATTTATCAGTGCTTCATCATTGTATTCATATCAACCATTCACCTGTTCATTATTTCATTAAAGATACACTATGTAAGATTTAGATAAAGAGCTGACAATTCTTGTTATAATAGTTCAAAAAAAGATAACGAAAAGTGATTATTCTGGGCAAAGTTATGAGCATTTGACTGTTTGAAAAGATTTAGCGCATTATCATAGCACCGGGACTAGCATTTTTATCGTTAAAATTTTAAATCTTGTGGATATTTTAATCCATTTAAATCTCTGCCATCCGATGATGTAGAGAGTTGATTATAGGCTTGTTATGTAAATAAACGTCTAATGAATACTTTATAATAGCATTTGAAGCCAAAAGAAAGACGTGCAATAGGCAGATTTAGCTCTTACATAATGCATCTTTAACTCAGTCACCCATTACCTCCAGCTTTTATTCATTGACCAAGTCATTTCTTTTATAATTTCATTCCATCATTTATTCATCAACTCATTCATGCATTCATTCTCTCATTAACTATTGTTCAATAATTATACAATAAACTTTCTAAAGAAATAATAGATAGTGAGAGTTATCTCCCTTGTTTATGAAACCTTGTTAACTCTCATCATTTTGCAATTTGATTATAAATGGAAAGGATGAGTCATATTCATTCTCATTAAGTTTTGATAATAATGTTTACAAGAAATCACAATTACCAACCAGGCTGCTGGTGGACGCATGTCTTGTTGCCTGCCAACCTATTTTTTTTTTGTTATAAATTTGTTATTTTCTACCTAAACATATAAAGTGGGGATCAACTGATATTTTTAAAAAATAAACCACGAAAATTGTAAAAGAATAAATGTATCTTTATTTTAAAATTTGTTAAATTGTTTTGTTGTTAAAGATTACTCACAATTTACACAAATTGACCACTGGATGTCCATAATAAAATTGATATAGTGTGTTTTGGATATGGTTTGTTTTCATGAATTAATAACAATATTATTACTCTGTAAACATTAAAACTGAGATTATTAACTAATTAGCATTAATTGCTTTTTTTTTCAATAGAGGTCTGTGATACATAACGTGTGAGCATTAATTAATTTTATACAGATCCTTTCTAATAATTTGCTAATATGTGTTCCTAATAGTTTAACAATTTTCCTGGACGGTGCTCTTGGCCTATTTTAGCTAACTACTACGCTGACAGTGGTGCCGGATGGACAGGCCTGGAAATAACGCTTTTTGATGTACCTGACAAAATGTCAGGCACTAATGAAATAGTACCTGACATTTTGAACTTAGTGCCGGACATGTATTAATAATATCAATAGAAAAGACAAATCAGTGCTGGACAAAATGACAGCCATCAAAGGTTTTGTGCCTGACAAAGCCTGAATCTGTGCCTGACATTGTCAGTGACAGGTGCCTTATTTCCAGGCTTGAGGATGGAGGGCCTGACAAGGACAGCTGTCTAGGTGTTTGGATGGGACAGAAAACCGAGGTCCTGTGTATACATTGGTATGCACATAAAACATCCCTTGGCAGTTGGAATTCGATATAAGAGTCGGCCACAGTGCCGCTGTCCTGACAAAATTTCTCTCATAGCACACTGTATAGCGTATGCCCGTCTTCATTAGCCCAGTTGGAGCAGAACAGTAGGACGTTAAATCCCATTTCATTTCATTTCCTGAATTTCCTTCCATTGGGCCTGCTATAGATTGTATTGTAGTTTTTTTTAATCAAAATGATAATTATAGGCTAGATGTATTATTATAGTGTTCATGTTTTTTACAATCTGATTAAAATACAGATCTATATTTCGTTTTGTTTTTTATATTTCGATGTCCTACATGAAGATCTGACCGGTTGTAGTAAAAGATTGCGTCTGGGGTCATATGAGCACCTTTTGACCCTTTGACGTTTTTCATACTTTCAATGACCTCACAGCCCTCACTACATGAAGATCTGACCGGTTGTACTGGAAGGGGGGGGGTTGGATGGCTGAATGGTTAGCGTGCGTGCGCTGTATCATTAAGTCTGTCATTGAGTCGACTGGCGTGGTTTCGAATCCCCTGTTGTACGTGGCAAGGAGTAGGGTCGCCTGTCCAACCTCGTGGGTTTTCTCCGGGTCCTCCGGTTTCCTCCCACTGCTAAAGACCCCTACGCGCAAGCGAATTATTGAAATAAAATTAAACCATATGTTAGTCCCGAAATGACCTGGTTTGTGTCGAGTGGACGTTAAACCCCATTTCTCTCTCTGTACTGGAAGGTCTCGTCGTGTAGTAAAGACGAAACGAAATTTTGAACTATGAAAAACGAAATGAAATAGGATATGTGTTTTAACCAGATCATGTTTTTTATTATCTACATTTTTTCTACTTGACATTTTTAAAATAAAGAATGCAATAAAAGTAGGTATATAGTGTTATGCATTAGTTGATTATATATTGAATAAATAATTTTTGACTAATTAAAGAGTTTGTTTCCTTCTGAAAAGTAATACTTTTCTTTGGGGGAAGGGGGGTGAGTCAAGTGATGTGGTTACAATTCCCCGCTTGTACACGACAAGGAGTAGGCTTGCCTTTCCGGCCCTCATGAGATTTCTCTGGGTCCTCAGGTTTCCTCCTACTGCTATAGACACAAACATGCAAGCAAATAATTGAAATACAATTGAACCATGTTAGTTCCGAAATTAACTAATTTGTGTTGAGTGGACATTTAACCCCATTTTATCCGCGGGTTCTCCGGTTTCCTCCCACTGCTAAAGACCCCTACGCGCAAGCGAATTATTGAAATAAAATTGAAATATAGGGCCTATAGTTAGTACAAAAATGTTTTTGTCGAGTGCACGTTAAACTCGTGGGTTTTCTCCGGGGCCTCTGGTTTCCTCCCACAGCGAAAGACCCCTACGCGCAAGCGAATTATGTAAATAAAATTAAAAACCAAATGTTAGTCCCGAAATGACCTAGTTTGTGTCGAGTGGACGTTAAACCCCATTTCTCTCTCTCTCTCTCTCCATTTCTCCCTGATCAACTAGGCATTGTTTTCTTATGATTGTAGCCTACTGTTACCAGAATGGTTGTGAATAATACACATGCAGGCTAAATAAATACATCTGAATGAAATCAGACATATTGAATGCATTCCACAAGATTTGCTTGGTAGTGGTAGCCTATAATATAATAAAAAGCAAAACGTCTCGCATTACCATTGAAAAACGTTCTTTATGGAGATTTTAAATTTTGGCGGGAAATCTAGCTCTAATTATCCAGACGGACAAGAACCAGGCCGGCATATCCAGTCCTAACACACAAAAGGCTTTAAAGTGTTGCTAAAAATAGCCTTGAACTATAAGCGGTATTCCCCAGGATTTTCACGAAATTTGTCTAAGGTACTAAACGTTCTGATCAGTCTGTGTCACGTTTTGAAGCTTTGATATTTCCTAAGCTCTTTATGATAAATCGAAGGAATGCTTAAAGCGCACAAATTTGTTTTGATTCGAACAAGTGTGATTCATATATGATATGCCATTCCCTAACGCTGTCTAACGGCTTTCCATATTTGGCAAATCGACAACCGTCTCTTGTGACGATAGAGGGCTCATATTTCGGGGATTTCCTATTGACAATTACTTGACTTTATCAAATATTGATAATAAACGTGTTTAAAAACAATCGGAAAATCGATTTATTAATTGAAATGACAGAACTGTATGGAATGTTATAACGGAAATATCAAATATTCTAGGAAGTTTGTGAAATACTATCGGCGGCTTTGAGTGCGAAGACTAGCTCTTGACCTAGCAGGCGGCTATTGGTTTTGTAGGTCGCGGGGAGCAGTTGACATAACTTGTTTGGCATAGCATCTGTCATTATAAAAGTTTATTTGGATTAGGCAGGTTCGAGGAGACTGACCAAGATGCCGGTCTTCCACACGAAGACGATAGAAAGTATTTTGGAACCTGTGGCTCAACAGGTAAGTCCAATTTCACAGCCATTATTAGTCAGTTTAGAACTGATCGTGCATGTAATGTAATGTACGCGCAGTGGGATATTGGTTTCACGGTGCATTTTAACTGATTAAATCCCTCAGTTCTAAGGTTTTCTGCGAATTGGAAGTCTTCAGTTCTAAAGACCTTCATCTCATATCAAGATTGGAATTGCAAACATAGTTTCAAAGAATTAATAATGAAATAAAGCACAAATACAAAACAAGTGTGTGTCGTAATATACATGTAGGCTACAACCGTGCATTATATGAGTTTGATAAGTTAATAAACATTTGTAGTTAATAGATTGTTTTGCATTAGGGATTGCCAAGAAATACCCTAAAGGTGGTAAGCCTACATACAAATATGCACACAGCAAAATAAGGATAGGCTAAAATTCACCAAAATCGATTAAATCGTCTAGTTATTTATAAATTATACCATGTTCATATATCTCAAGTAATATTCTCCGTGATATTATTATGAATTATACTCACTAGTAAATAAGACATATACGACTATTATGTGGTTGGGGGGGGGGGGGGGTAATAAGCTGTGTACATCTATATTGGTGTTTATAAATTATCGCCTAGCAGAAGTGTGTATTATAAAACATGGGTTATACAAATGTACCCACTGATGTATATTGGTGTATTATGTTATTTACTTGCAACATTGTGTATAATAAAACATCGTTATGTGTTTATCTAATGGAGAATACACACAGTAGACTGATTGATCTTTTCTAATTAACACATATTAATTTATATATACATGTGTATTACAAAACATGGGTTACATGTATATTTAATGGGGATTCAATATTATGCACAGCCCAAGAAGGTCCATGTTAACACATTGTGTATAATAAAACAGGGGTTACATGTATATATAATTGGAAATACACATTCAGTAGACTGATTGAAATTTTCTAATAAACACATTGTGTATTATAGAAATCTTCTTGGGTTAGTATATGCACTTTGAATACAGTGGAATACATGTGTACTGCACTGTAGACTGGTGTATATTTTTCTTTATTAAACCTTTTACCTTTAGGAGGAATAACTGCTTTAATGGATGTAAAGGGAATTTGCTGAAAATTTCAGTCAAAGTGATCCACTTTGAACTGAGATATTATTTGAATTTTAAGCCTAACCTCGATCATTTTTCTAAGATCGGTAGGATAAAAACATAGACTTGATTACCCAGTTTTGGATTTAATCATCAGTGAGCCTTGAGCAGCAGATTGGATTCAAATCCAGTAAATATAGCAGGCTAGCGATGACATCGAGAGTTGATTATGGTCTGGATAAGTTAATTAATGTCTAATTAAAAATTCAGATAACATTTTAGGCCTAAAGAAAGACCAATGAGATGTTTCTGAAAAAGATAGCATGATTTTTAACAGTTGATGCTTTTCAATAATTTAAAGTAATAAATTTTAAACATGCATTATGCAAGAGCAAAATCTGCTTATTACAAGTCTTTCTTTAGGCCTGAAATGTTATCTAAATTATCAATTAGACATTAATTAACTTATCCAGACCATAATAAACTCTCGATGTCAAGGCTAGCCTTCGATGTTGACTGGATTAGATTAGTATATGCCGCTAACGGCCATTGATAATTAAATCAGAAAAAGTGGATAATCGAGACTATGCTGTTTATATTAATGATTTTAGTAATGATGACCGAGACTACATGTATGCAAAAATTTCACCCGCTTCTTTCTCGGCTCATAGTGGATCAATTTGACTGAAATTTTCAGCAAATTACCTTTACACTATCTAGTTTTTAACTATTATAGCGAGAACTGCCATCTCTTTATCTAATCTCCCATAATGTATCTTTAATTTTAAACATTCTTCAAATCAATTATTAATTTAAAACATTCTTCAAATCAAGGATGTTTACTACATGCACTAAGAAGTTGGATTGGGAAGGAAATAGATAAACACGTTTTCCTGAAAGATAGTTGTATAATATTCATATTGATCAAACAAGATACTGGTCCGGTACATGTAGATCCTTTTTATACGCCCACATTTTCATGTGGACGTATATTGTCGCCGCCCTCTACATCCGCAGGGGGGTTGGATGGCCGAATGGTTAGCACGTGCGTGCTGTATCATAAGGCCTGTCATTGAGTCAACTGTCGTGGTTTCGAATCCCCGGTTGTACGTGACAAGGATTAGGGTAGCCTGTCCAACCTCGTGGGTTTTCCTCGGGTCCTCCGGTTTCCTCCCACTGCTAAAGATCCCTACGCGCAAGTGAATTATTGAAATAAAATTAAACCATATGTTAGTCCCGAAATGACTTAGTTTGTGTCGAGTGGACGTTAAACCCCATTTCTCTTTCTCTCTCTCTCTACATCCACGTGTCCGTACACATTTCGTTTGAGGACACTCTACAGGTCACAATTTTTATCTGATTTTGAAAAAACTTGAAATATAGGTCTGTCTCCTTTCGTTATTGGCATGTATCAGACCATAACTTTATGGATTATTGCCCCTGATTGTACGAAAAATCAAGTTTTTAGCTTGACACTCTAGAGGTCATAACTTTCATCTTATTTTGATGAAACTTGATATTTTGGCAGGGTTTTATATTGTTGTATATTATATTTAAGATGAAAAAGATTGTACACAAGTAGTGACTTATAATTACATATTGAAATGTTATTGATGCTAGCTGCAGACTGTTACATACATCTGGAGCTTTTCAAATAGTTAAACATAGCATCTGTTTCATGTTAATCAACCTTGATGATGTATGTACATAATATATTCTAGAATAAAATAAAAGTGTGAAAGGGAGTTTATCGTACCGTCCAAACAACTTGACACTGTTCATTGCCAGGCTCTCTGTCCTGTACCAGTGACAAGGGAAAACCATATTGAAAATTCCAGAGAATTTCGGGGCATCAAAATGTTATATAAACTATTGATTAGATATTTATTTACATGAAAAGACCTTAACCCTTGCGTGGACACATCGTAGGAAAAAATTGTAGGCAACAAGGGGTAATCTAAGACCCCAGATATAAATTGTTTTTTTGATGCATAATTTTATTCAAATACGATCAAACTACAGCTTCATATAAAGACTGAATAATAATCAATCAGAGTAAAAATAAATATTTGAGGTATTAACAGTGATGATATGAATTATAAGGTATGTTTGAAACCATACAAATCTAAAAATAACTTAATTGTCATTTCTGTGTAGAATCGTCTTTCGATGAGGTTGGTAGATTACCTAGATTTGCTTTCAGATCTAGATTACTAGAATGACCAACACAAAAATATCATCAGTAAGAAAGATTCCAAATACAAAGCTGGCACCGATCGCATTACAGATTAGACACTTGTAACCAGCAAAAGGTTGAAATGTAATGTAATTCAAATGATGAATGTTGCTACTGCCTCACTTCCGTTCTATTTGCAGCAATATACTCAACATTAAAGAGCTGACAATTATGAACCATTTCCTCACAAATGTCAAGAATATGGTCGTGGGGTCCCAAAATACCCCTTGTATACGCACAAGGGTTAATCAACTCTCGATGCCATCTTATGTGTCAGATTTTCACTGGGTTTGAATCTGATCTGCAGCTCAACGCTCATTGATGATTTGATCCAAAAATGGATAATCGATAAAAAAAATTTTATCGTACCGACAAAAGTAAGGATGATTGGGACTAGGCCTAAAATTCAATCGCTAATATCTCGGTTCAGAGTGGAGCAATTTGACTGAAATTTTCAGCATATTCTCTTTACATTATGTAATCTTCCATAATGCCCCTTCAAAGTACATGTACATGTATAATGAGCATATTTGCATACAATGTAATTATTTGTGAACCACACCTTAAAGCTGCGTCATCAATACCATAATTTACAGAAAACAAAAATCTTTTCGATGATGTTTTTCAATAGGACAGAGATCTATTCTCAAAGTAGACATTTTAAGTCCTAAATTGACGATTTTAGTTGAAAACAATTTAATTCTGCTTCAGTTTAAAAAAGATTGAAACTGTTTTATATACTTTTGTGTATGATAGATATGAAATGATATACATGTAGAACCACATTACAAAACAGTGTACTAATTTTTGGATATGGCGCCCATTCGGGACAGAGATCTATTCTCAAAGTCTATAGTTGTCTGTGTGCAAAATGTGTTGCCATTCCACCTCTTATTATTCCTATATTATATTAAACATACATGTATAAGGAGCATCATACAATGTAATTTTTTGTGAACCACACCTTAAAGCTTGGTTATCAATACCATAATTTACATGAAATGAGGAAAAACTTTTCGATGATGTTTTTCAATAATTTGTGAATCATACCTGAGTGTATCAGCTGCTGTTGTTGTATGTTTCACACACTCCTTCAACACATGTCACTGCTGGTGAATCAGAGAATGATAGAGAGGAATATATCTCTCACCTAGAATTCAAGATTTTATATTAAACATACATTAATATTCAAGAGCTAAATCTGCCTCTTGCAGGTCTTTCTTTAGGCCTTAAGCATACATTTTTCAAGAGCTAAATCTGTCTATTGCAGGTCTTTCTTTAGGCCTGAAATGTTATGTAAATTATTGATTAGACTTTTATTAACATGACAAGACCATAATTAACTCTCGATGTCATCGGATATCTCCGATATTAAGTAGATTAGAACAGTTCAGTCATATTTTGAATTAATCTAAAAATGGTGAAGCGAGGCTAAGCGTCGAACAACCACTGTGGTGGTTGCAATTAATGCCCAAATCTTGTCAAACCTACAAAGGCTAATATCTTCCCTCGCAATTGAGCTATTTGATTGAAATTTTCAATGAATTCATTTTTCATGATCTATTTTTGAACTATTATAGCATGAATTGGTAGCTCTTTATTTAATAGCAGCCACCGTACTTGTTGTGGGAAGCTAAGTTTCGCTCCTCCATTTTTAAATTAAATTAAAATATGGCT